GGGGGGGGGGGAGGGGAACTAATGCAGCGTTGGATAGGTGGAAGTGTCTACTATTCCAGTGCGAAAACTCGTTTTTGTCGCTGTAGTAGTATTTTTTCTAGGTTAGAAGGTTAGAGGTTAGAAGGTTAGAGATTAGAAACGAACGTGTTTTTTTCTCGTGCCGATAACAATGTGTGACGAAAAACACGAGCAACGGATCAATGTGAAATTTCGCGTTAAATTAAAAAAAACTCCGACTGAGTGCTATAACTTGTTGAAAGAGGCCTATGGTGAGAATTCTCTATCTCGTGCGCGTGTTTTCGAATGGTATAAACGGTTTTCTGAAGGCCGAGAGAGCACCGAAGATGACCAACGTCCAGGTCGACCTGTCTCTGTTTCAACTCCGCAAACAGTGACCAAAATCAATGAAATTGAAATGAATTGTGCGCGGAGATCGTCGTATGAGCATTAGGATGATTGCTGAGACTGTAAACGCCGATAAAGAAACTGTCAGAAAAATTTTACATGACGAATTGAACATGTAGAAAGTCTGTGCGAAGTTGGTCCCAAAAACGCGCTGTCTGCGAAGCGTTATTTAGCCGCTAAAGGCACTCCAGTGCTCGAACACGCGCCGTACTCGCCTGATTTAGCACCCTGTGACTTTTTCCTGTTTCCAAAGATCAAGTCTGTCTTAAAAGGAACCCGGTTTGAGTCGATGGAAGAGGTGAAACGAAAATCGGCGGAGCTCCTAAATACACTTACAAAAGAAGACTTCCAACATTGCTTTGACCAATGGAAAAAACGAATGGAACGGTGTGTGGCGAGGGGAGGGGAGTACATTGAAGGGGAGCATTCGATTGTAGAATAATTTTTAAAATAAAACTTTTTCATAAGCAGTCTCGTTATTTAATAGCCAGACCTCATATATATATATATATATATATATATTTATATATACATTTATTCCTCTATATCTGTATACATAATTGCTTTGTATTTTAGCCTCAAGTCTTCTGCCATTAGTTTAACGATTACGACGCAATTTTATTTTTAAGACCGATACTAAGAAGATGATATTTTATTTGTAAGATCGTTCACGCATTAAAGTTTCCTAAAATAATAATCTGGTATTTTAAATAGTTTCCTGTTTACCTACATATTGTATCACGAAGTGATAAACATAATCTTGAGAGAAGCACGCAGAAAGTCAAATGTTTTCTCGAGATTATTTATAGACAATCAATGTTGTTGAGTTACACCACATGTGATGTACGTGTTCGCAAGAGCGCACTGCGCAGAATCGTTCACGAAGGAAGGATGGGGAAGAAAGATCGATGAAACGAAATGTTAGTCGCGACTGCGAGTTGAAATACACCGTTAATGCTTTGTGCGACTATCTGCCGAGGAAAGTGGTGCCGTATTTCTTTGTTCTTCATGGTAAATTTTTTCAATAATAAGCTAAATTCTTTAAATAATTAGATACATTTGTTTATTTAATTATTTGCCCTACATTACAATTAGATTTGTCTTTTGTTGTTGTTAAATGTATAGATTGGAAAAGTACGATACTATATATTAGTATAACTAAATACTCCGTACTGTTTGAATAAATATAATTTTTAATTAAAATTTTGTCCTGATAAAAGACTTGTCTTTTTATTGTATATAACACGCTTCGTTTACATTAATTTACGCGTATGTTTTACATTTTTGTATAGGAAAAGACTAAAAATGTCGACCGTGCGAACCTCGCACGTATCGACCCGACTGACGATCCAGTTGATCTCTTCAAAGTATGGCGTGACGAAGCGATACAATTTCACGAAGGAATAGTAGACGTTTGCTGTGTGGCGACTTCCTCCAAGTAAATATATTAGGTTGGTGCATATGAAATGTCGGATTCTTAAGTGATTGTATAAAACTGTATATCTTTCTTCAAAAGCTGTTTATTCAATCAAAGTATGCTCCATTCGCTTCAATACACTTCTCCCAACGAGATTTTAAAGCGTAGATGCCTGTCTTAAAAAAATTTTGGTCTTTAGAATTAATAAACTCTGATATCGAGTTTTTTAGACTGTCTTCATTTTCATGGTGTTTGCCTCTTAAAAACAGCTCTAAATGCTTGAAAAAATGAAAATCGGTCGGCGAGAGATCCGGTGAATATGGTGGATGCTGCAAAACTTCATATTCCAGTTCGTTCAGTTTCGCAATTGTTTTGTGCGATGTGTGCGGCCGAGCGTTGTCATGGAGCAGTAGCGGGCCATGCCGATTCACAAGCGATGGGAGTACAATTTGGTGTCTCAATATCGTTGTATGGTCAACTTTCATCCTGATAGCAAGTTCCCTCGTGGATACGGCTGGATCCGCTTCCACTAGAGCCTTCAGGTCATCATTATTCACAGACGTTTTGGGTCTTCCGCGCGGCTCATTTTGCAGTGAAAAATCGCCAGTCCGAAATTTTTCGAACCAACGCTGCACTTTCCGATTGTTAACCGTATTCTCCCCAAACGCTTGGTTTATGTTGCGTGCAGCTTTTGCAGCACTATTACCAAGTTTGTACTCATATAAGAAAATGACGCGAATGTCGGCAGAATTCATATCGGTAATAAACTCAAAAGAAATAAAAAAGGGAAGACCTTCGAGAAAACCTATTTTGTTGAAATGAGTCTCTGGCAATGGACAATACGAGTATGAATGAGGTTATGCCAAATACAAAAGTATAACGAAAACAGGGAGGAAAACGTCCGCATGTAAAGAGAATGCGACATTTCATACGCACCAACCTAATACTTTGATTTAAACAGTGAAATATAAATTGAACTTGCTCTATCTATTCCTCAGACATTCCAAGATTAGTTCGAGAAATTTATTATTACGTGAATTTGATAACGACGGTTTTGTTATTATGACAGATGCACGTAGCAGAAAAGTCGACGATATGGTAAGTATAGCTCATTAATATATCAGTCATTTTAATTATTACCCAGTAAATATGATAACATATTAATAACTTCAAATGACCTCAAATGACATTAACAGCATTTAAATAAAGTCAAAGATGTCATTAATACATAATCATGTTTGCTGAGTGGTCAGATAATTTTCTAATCTTTAATATTATTTTTGTAATTATGGTACAAATTAAAACTTTGTACAAGTCTATTTAAAACTATATGATTAAAGATTATAGTTTTTTATTAATTCTTTCTCGAAAATTGTTTTGCGAAAAACTTGAACTAAAGCTTGAAACTTAAATAATTTCAAAAAGCTAAATAATTTGAATATTTTAAAAAGAGAAGTAAATAAAAGTAAAAACAAACACAAAAATTTGAATATTTACTTTTTTTTATTTCCTTCCTTTTGTAGGAGCATAATCCGTACGTAACTATGTGCTTTTTATGGATTTATAAAAACGACAAACAGCATAAAGTTATGCGACAGGTAATAAGGTAACATTTAATTTCGAAATAATGTTGTACCAATAATATTTTCTTTTATACCACCAAGTGCCCTATTTTATATTTACTCTACGTTTTTATATTTCAAAAAACATCAAATATGTATGACAGTTGGTGTTGGTGACAGACAGGTGTTTAAATTACGGTGTTTAAAAGTATTGATTTTTAGGTGAGAATAGAAGGGTCAATGAAAAAACTAGAAAAACCGGCTTATGAATATATGTACGAAAAGGAACCATTGTACTGCAAGATCCGATCTTACCTGTGTCATCAGGACCAACTGGCCGATTGGGACGATTTGAACCGTCGGTACAATGAAATATTAGCAGAAGCAAAAAAGAATGGAGAAAATTTGCCAATGCCAGATCACTAGTAAGTCTTGTTTAATTTGAGTAGTTTATAATGAAAAAAAGTGTGAATATTACAGAACGCTATATTTATCACAGAGAATGTAATATTCTTGAGATCTTACAGATCGAACATCTTACAGATCGAACATAACAAATTTTATTTGAAACAAATGAAAAATTATAAATTTTAAGACTATTCTCTCATTTGTTAATAATGTTTTGCTACCTTCCTTAATTTATTGTAACTAATTCATGTAACGTCCCATATATAAAAGCAGAACGATATTCAAATTTTAAACGTTTCAAACACTTTTCTAAAAAAAAGGAATACAATAGAAACCAACTTGTACTTTAACGAACATAACAAAAAATGTTCTTAGAAAAGTATAGTGAAACTTAACGAAAAATCTACTTTAATATTATTTATGCTTTCAGCGTGGCTTATAAATTAGCACCCGAAATGATGGAATTTTATTACGGGCGGGACGAGCTAATCGCCGATCGAATACGCTACGAGAACTCGACCAGATGTTGGGAACATCAGAGAATAGCGGCCTAATTTTATATGGCATCCTATCTTTTTATCGTCATGATTTCAATTTTGTCTTCCTATCATAGATATTCGGATAGCGTATAAAATGATCGACAAATTTGTGATATTTTGAGAGTTCTTAGATGACCCCACTGTATAATCAGGTATTGCACGTTTTTCTTCAATTCTACAAGAAATTTTGATATAAACTCTCAGAATCCTAGAACTCAGAATTTTAGGCCCGCATTAATAGTCGGATCTTATATTCAAGATCGTCTCAAGTTCATCTTCAGAAGTTTTGTAACCAATGAAATAAACTAAGTCTGAAGGTAAACTGAAATCTTTGATATAAGATCTAGATCAGAAGACTGTTAATACGGACCTAAATCTCCAAATTCGAATTTCAAGACAATTTCTAGAAATACAACTGTCCGAAATATTAAAAAGTACGTAATACTCATCAAACTTACTATGACATTTTCATACATCAAGGCTACTTTCCATTTTAAAAAACTCCTTCTCTGCTCTGAATAAAGATGTTCGATCGCAACTGCGAAAATCACTTTTTTAATCGATTTTGTATCGAAACAGTTAAAATCTGCATATAGTCGGCAAAATAAAGGTTGGAATACTTTTTTTTGACAAGTAAAAAGAATCAATTTCCGTCAAAATCGAGTTGAAAAATGGATTAAAAATAATTTTCTTAAAGATCGATTTAAAATCGAATCTCCCTAGCTCTGAATAAGTCTTCATGCTGGTTCGATACTCCACAATTTATATCACAGTGCAATATTCAATCGGCTTTCAATTCAATTGCACTATTCATAAATTATACTCACGGATTAACGAAAAAATTCTTTCTAAATGAAATTAATTGCCAATTAAAAAACAGCTGTTCTTATTTTAATCTTACTAATCGGCTAACCGATATTAATGAACTTAATTGAGAGTTTCCAAAGAGGAGTTAAACTGTCCGTACTTTCATTGAAGAGGACTCAATGAAGGATTTCAATGAAGAATTTCATTGAAGAGGCATAAGACTAGAAGAATCCTCGCTATTTGAAACATCACAGCGCACAATATCGATACGTAAAAATTTACTTACCTCAAACTCGCATTGGCCTTGATTCGCACCTGTTCGAACATTTCTGAAGACAATTCATCTATTCTTGTCACGTGTGAGACACTTCAAGACTGCGAATTCAGATTGGAATCCATGAAAATGGAAATATCGACCCGAGTTGTACGCGTCGGTCGATAAAATGTTCCCGCCAATACTCACACCGACATCGTTCATACACGAGTTCCCGATGTTCAAAGCGGCCGGACCAATGGCGGTGCTGGGACACGCGTCACGTGACCTACATGATACCATCGATACGGCTACGCGGGAACGTAGCTCGCCAATTGGTTGTGGACGAACATTTACTCGCTTTCACGGCGCACGTATCGCCTCGTTGGAGCCTCGATGAGACGCTCTATGCGTAAAAACTTGTTCCGGCGCGCGACGCAGCACAGTGAGTTAGCCGGCATCGATTCGGTGGTACGTGACGCGCGGAAAGACATCACGTAAAATTAACGATGCCGGTCCACGTGTCCAACGGGCTCGACGGCAAGACCGACTGTTATCTCATTTTGGAAGATGGCAGTGTTTTCTTGGGGAAACGCTTCGGCGCCAATTCGCTTCGAAATCCTGTCGACGGTGAACTCGGTGAGTCTGCGTGAACGTCGAACACGTGGTGCGCTCGGAGGCGTAAGCGTTGTGCCTGTGCGATTTGGAGCTACTCGCGCGGCCAGCGAGCGTTACGCGTGATCTCGTGCCAAACGATTCACGTATCGCTTCGTTCGGTTGATAAACTTTATCGATCTCGTATCAGTATGTTGAGAGCAGCAACGGTATCGCCGTCCACTCGCGTGGACCACACGCAAACGGGATGTGCGACGAGCCTCCGGCCCAATTATATTTCAAATGTATTCACGATACGATAAGACGTGTGTACATATAGTATCGGCGTGTGAACCCGGTGGAAGAAATATCGTAGAAAAATTCTCCCGAAGGAGCGTTTTGGAAAAAAGCGTATCTCCAATTCCCAGTTAAATCTTATCCGCGCGCCCGCGATACGAGAAATTAATATTTGCCGGAATGCGTCTTATCGCTATAGAATCTATAGATACGATAGGGACAACGTATGAATTTACGCACTAATACAGGGTGCTTTTCTAAATCAATTATCTACCCATTATCTACGGTACAAATATTCAAAAAATATCCTAAAGATATCCTAGGCAGAATTCGAACATACCTGAGACGCTTTTAGATGTTTTTTGAACATTTGTGCTGTATGGGTACCAAGCTGCAGATAGCATAGTTTTAGTTCCATACACGTTCTCCAAATTATGTAATACGACCATGAAACGTTACATACATTTAAAAAACATGTACAGAACTGACGTATGTTATCTGAATAGAGTTAAGACTTGGTTCACAAACGGCGGTTTACACTCTTTCATATGTGTATTCTCGTTTGCGATGCGTCTCGAAAGTGAACAATAATAATTAGCATTAAATCGACATTCATTTCGGAGTGATGAAAAATGAAAAAGAATTATTAATTTTATGCCGTTGTGGTAACAAAATCCAAACTTCGCTGACTCGAAAGTTTCGGAACTCGAACTGCATTGCTCATTTATGTACGTTCCTGCTTAGAAAGCCGGTTTCTGATTAGCCACGTAGATGATTACGTTGCACATGCAACACGTGTCGGTAGTATTAAATACACATCGTTGGGTAGATTGTGCTGAGTTCAAAAAATCTTCGAGACGCGTGTTCAGTTACATTCTTATGTAAGAGAAATCTCTTGGAGTAAACTTAGCACACTCGATCTCTCGGCAACATCGTACTTCATCTAACAAGATATCTAAATGCATTTCGATGTAGCGGAAGCGGTCGGCGCGAACTCGCCGACGCAAAGTTGCGTACGCGAGTATGACGAATCATACCTCGCGGCTTCCGATCATCTCAATCGACGGTCACGATGCACGAATATACTAGACAAGCGGACACATGTCTAGTTGCAGAACAAAGGTCTTTATGATGCTAAATGACGCATTGTATTCGACAGAAAGTTCCCAAGCGTGCACAGATGTCACAGCTGCGTTACGAAATGCGTGTGCGTGCGAAATGGACATTTCATAATATTGTAGAATAAAATTTTCTTCCAAAAAATGAAATATAAAGAAAAAGTTAGTAAGTAACTTTGGCAATGTTGTTTTCTCGATTTGATTTCACTCATATCTCACCACATTCTCTTCAATGCGGTCATATTGCTTCACATTTGTATTGCACATTTGTATATTACACGTGATAAAATTCCCCAAATTTTCTATTGGGTTTAGATCAGAGGAACGAGAGGGCCACTTTATAAGTGGCAAGTTTTTTTTGTTTAAACCACCCTTGAGTCTTTTTGGCGTTATGTATTGCTGCGTTATCTTGCTGAAAAATGACGCCTTTATGATTTTCTTCGATAAATAAAGTTAAAAATGTCTTCAATACTCATTCCGTCTGAAGTATGGACGATGTTTCTTATATTCGTGATGAAGCAAAGCTCAGGAAAACTTATTGTTTTTATACAAATTTCCTTATCTCGGTCAGCATTTTAATGTTTCTGTTTATAAAGTGAGAACACGCGAGTTTGTTTACCTGCACTGTTTCACAGTAATGATACTATGATTTTCGTAAAGTTTTGGCAACACTACTTATATATATTTATAGAATAAATGAACTTTCGGCAGTAAATCATAGTGTTTTTATAGAAATTTCATCCGCTCTATAATGACGTATTAATAACATGTTAACGACGTCATTGACATCATTAATATTCGTCATTATATTTGCCGAAATATTGTGTTTGATGAGACTCTTATCTCTTATTAACTTAATTGTCTCTTGCCCAAAAAGGCTTAATTACCCTTTATGAATGATATCTCATCTAATTTAGATCGTATCTCCTCGAAAAACAATGAAGCGCTAAAATACAGATTTGACGATATTAATTGATGTGCCTCATTTATTAAGTGTTGGATAACGATATTTACGCGCGATAGCTCTTCCCAATAAGTGAACATGCAAGTTACAAAATCGAGTAAAATCAAAGTCCATAAGATAATATACTTTTATAGAAATAAAATTATGATCAAAAATATATCAAGATATACAGTATGTACCGAAAAATCGCAGTAAACCGAAAAGGAGAAGATTCCTCAAACGAAAGTCTAAAATGCGGATTGAAGTTTTTTTCATACAAGGCTTTGTATTCAAGAAGATTGTAATTGAAAATTCGTTGAATAGGCATAGATTTAACTCAAAGTATCATTCAGCTTACACTATTCTTTCTGCCCATGTTTATAAACATTGACTATTTGTCAGTAAGACGATCGTTTGTCTGCTATTACTACTATTGTGCGTTAACAATTTATCTTATCAGTGTCTATAAAGTGGAAAACAACGGGTACTTTTTATAGTTTTCCAGACTGGCATGATTGGTTATCCGGAGTCACTCACGGATCCTTCTTATCACGCTCAAATTTTGGTGCTTACATACCCGCTCATAGGAAATTATGGTATCTTCGGTGATGAAAGGGACGAATATGGTTTGCCATAGTAAGTAGTCGCAACAAGATCGAACTCGGGGTCAATTAAAGAGAACTTACGAGGCAACAATATTAATCTTAATATATCGCATGTGAATCGAGCAGTTCAACGTCGTCGTGCAACGTGCATTTTCCTTGTCTGACATATATATATACAGTACAGTACAGTTTGAAAATATTTCGACCATGGAAGTTTGCAAACGTAATTTTAATGTAAATGAATAATCTTAAAAAGAAAGATAAAATTAACACAGGCGAATTTAAACACTGACGAAAAAAATTATTTATTTACACGGAGATAGTTTACAGAGCAACCGTTCACTGCGATTTTATCAAGAATGACTGAGAATAGGTTTAAAGGATGAAAACTCTATATAATAAATTGACTTAGATTCGACTGAAATTTTTTCAAAATCCTTCCGTTTTCAAGTAAAGATTTCTAAAGGAACTAAAGTTCCAGTTTCTAGGACCGTTTCTCTTCCATTCTGATTGTAGAATTGACACTGGTATTGACTCTAATATTTATACTCATCTCACAAATATTATGATATTTTCGTACAGTTGGTTCGAATCTCATCGCATTTGGGTTGCTGGACTCGTGGTTAGCGAAGTTTGCGAGAAGCCAAGCCATTGGCGTCAAACTAAGACGTTATCCGAATGGATGAAGGAACAAGACATACCCGGAATATGTGAAATTGACACACGAGCATTGACGAAAGCTATTCGCAATACGGGGGGCACAGTGTTGGGCAGGATAGTTTACGGTCAGCCACCTTCGGACATTACTCCAAGTATTGCCTCGAAACTATATTATAGGCTAGATTCCATAGAAGACCCTAACAATAAAAATCTTGTAGAGGAGGTTTCCCAGGTAAAATTTATGTGTACTTCTTGTACCAATTATTGCCAGATTTTCAGTGGCGCATTAAAGACGCCACTTATAAATTTAGTACTTATCAAGCAAAATTATGTTCCTATACATTAATTTCACTACCTAAGTAAATTAAGTTAATTTTAAATGAAGTTGAGGTAGACATTTACAATATTACAAATACGAGAATATTATTCTTTATTTTTCTTATTAATGCTATATTTATACATCAGTTGATCTAATAGAGATATACAAATAATAGGAAGAGGTATATATGTGTTTAAATATGTACATATGTACTTATATTTATATTTCGAGTACTACTATAAGTTATGATCTTTATACTGCTGTATCTTCAAAACAAAATGGTCAGTAATTCTTAAATTTGTGTGTAACATCTGCATATTAGTCTTTAATACCATAGTAACTTTCCATCAAAACCTTATACATATATATATATATATATATATATATAGTTTAGAAAATATTAAAAATAGAGATTAAAAATAGCACGCTAATCTTAAGGAATATGTATAAAAAGTGACAGCTTTAATCACAAATATCTTAAATGGTCAATCTTTCTCCAATTGTGCGAGTAGTTAGATAATATTTCAATTTATACGCAGTACAAATTTCATCGAATTCTTATTAAATTCATTTCACTTTATAACCTTCTCTTAAAGTGGAATGATTTTTGGTCCAGGTTCTGAATTACTGTCAAGCTTTTGATATGACTTCTCCATTCAGTGTAGATCAACTTGTAATTTTTTCATAATTTTTTCTTCATTTTGAGATATGGATAATACATCTTTGACGAAAATTTGTTTTCAAATCGACACAGTCTTTTTACTGTTTTATAATCACATTATTTTCCAGCCGGAGCCAAAATCATACAATTTGAACGGATATCCCCGGATATGCGTAGTCGACTTCGGATTGAAGTACAACCAATTGAGATGCCTATTGAGACGCGGTGCTCGCGTAGACGTCGTACCATGGAACTATAATTTATGTACTCTCGAATTTGACGGTTTATTTCTCAGCAATGGTCCAGGCGATCCAAGCATATGCTATAAGGCTATAGAAAATTTAACTGAATTCCTAAATGAAGAGTTCAACAAAAAGGAAGAAGAGAAGAAAAAACCCATCTTTGGCATTTGCTTTGGGCATCAAATATTGTGTTTGGCCGCTATTGACTTAAATTGCCATACGTATAAAATGGAGTACGTATTACGTTACATATTAATCTTTATTTTTATTACGTTGATATAATTTTTATCAGATTGGTCATGTGCTATAAATATCACTTACATCAAAAGTGTCGCCGAATGTGCACATTAAATTTTTTAATATCTCGTACAACTATATTCTTTTTAGCGAATAAATACATGTTATTAGAGATAATCACGACGGTAACATATTTCCAGTGATATACTAATTCGAAGAACCGATTATCGAAATGTTTCCGGGTACATTTCCTGTTCCTGGAAATTTCAAATCTGACATTTCCTTCCTGTGTTATGGCTTGGAAAAATGCTGCTCTTCCTCCGTCAGCGCGAACATCTTCCTGCCCTGTAACACAAAATAATTGTCACAATAAGTAATGCCTGTCACTCCATTGCAGCTACGGTAATCGAGGCCACAATCAACCGGTATGCCTTCCCAATACCAGGCGTACTTTTATGACCTCGCAGAATCACGGATTCTGTGTCAATATGTGCAATAGCGATCCGAAATACTGGAACACGCTCTTCACTAATCTCAATGACAACAGCAACGAAGGTGTGCACCATCTTGAACTGCCGTACTTTTCCGTTCAATTTCACCCAGAACACACAGCGGGTCCGCAGGATCTCGAATGTCTCTTCGACGTGTTCCTTGAAAATGTGAAGGACGAGATCGACGGTCGCCCTCGGATCCCGGTAGGAAAAAGGATCTGTCAAAAACTGACACATTTTCCCGATCCGATAATAAACGACCGTGATGACAACAATAAATGGCCGAAAAAGGTGTTGATTTTGGGCTCAGGTGGGCTGAGCATCGGCCAGGCCGGAGAATTTGACTATTCAGGCTCGCAAGCGATAAAAGCCTTAAAGGAAGAGAAAATACAGACTCTATTGATTAATCCCAACATCGCCACGGTGCAGACATCCAAGGGAATGGCCGATAAGGTGTATTTCTTGCCGATCACACCGGAATACGTCGAGCAGGTAGACCGAAGTACATTTACAATTCATCCGTTGAACTTTAATCGGCCGTCACGTTCTAATACTAAATCGTTCTCGATTAATCTGGTTTAGGTGATACGATCGGAGAGGCCTGACGGAGTACTGTTGACATTCGGCGGACAAACCGCTCTCAACTGCGGCGTGGAACTTGAGAAAAAAGGCGTGTTTGCGAGATACAATATCAAAATCCTGGGAACACCGATAGAATCTATCATACAGACCGAGGACAGGAAGATGTTCGCGGAACGCATCGGCGAGATAAACGAAAGAGTTGCGCCGAGTGCTGCCGTGTATTCCATTCAAGAGGTAAATTACATTTTGCGGATTTTTACAAATACAATAACAAATAAATAAGTCGCAATAAAATACACATACGAGCACGAAATAGATAGTTGTTCCTCATTTGTTCACACGCGTCACTAATACTCTGTCGATTCACCTCGAGTATTAACTTTCATTTCGTATACTGAACGTTTAATCTTTATGTTTACTTCCTTATTTTCCACTTTTAATACCGTTGATGATTATAACCGGTTAAGATTATAATCTCGTAGTAATTCTTACAACTTGTGCTCTGAAAATTTAATGTGTGACAATTCTTTTCTAAACAGGCATTAGATGCCGCGGATCTACTGGGCTATCCTGTCATGGCGCGCGCTGCATTTTCACTCGGTGGTTTAGGATCAGGATTCGCGAATACGAAGGACGAATTGAGAACATTGGCCCAGCAGGCTTTGGCACACTCGAGCCAACTGATAATCGACAAGTCCTTGAAAGGCTGGAAAGAGGTAGAGTACGAGGTTGTTCGCGACGCATGCGACAACTGCCTCACGGTGTGCAACATGGAGAACGTTGACCCCCTCGGCATCCACACCGGCGAGTCGATCGTTGTTGCACCGAGTCAGACGCTGTCGAATAAAGAGTACAACATGTTGCGGACCACCGCCATCAAAGTCATCAGGCATTTCGGCATTATCGGGGAATGCAATATTCAATATGCTCTAAACCCCCATTCCGAAGAGTACTACATCATCGAGGTGAACGCCAGGTTATCCAGAAGCTCGGCCTTAGCCAGCAAAGCCACCGGGTATCCTTTGGCTTACGTGGCCGCCAAACTGGCGCTCGGAATAACTTTGCCACTCATTCGGAATTCCGTCACTGGACAGACGACGGCTTGCTTTGAACCCAGTCTCGATTATTGCGTGGTCAAAATCCCAAGATGGGACCTCAGCAAATTTCATCGTGTCTGCACTACGGTATGAAAGTATATATATACTTATTCCTTTCCTCTCTTCTCATGTATAACTTGCATTTATTATTACTTTGTACTTTACTATTAATTTATAATTTATTTTCAAACGTAATGCCAATTGGCTATTCTTTTGTATTAATATAGGTATTATACTTAATTTTTCTACAACCCCAAAAGGTGCTCTTTCCCTATTTAAATAAATATTATTATTATTAATATTCCCGCACCTTTCAGATCGGCAGTTCCATGAAGAGTGTAGGAGAAGTAATGGCAATCGGTCGCAAGTTCGAAGAGGCCTTTCAGAAGGCGTTGAGGATGGTCGACGAGAACGTGAACGGCTTCGACCCTTATGTGAAACCAGTCAACGATGAGGAACTGGAGAAGCCGACCGACAAGAGGATGTTCGTGCTCGCCGCTTCGATCAAGGCCGGTTATACGATCGACCGGCTGTACGAGCTCACCAAGATAGACCGCTGGTTCCTTCAGAAGATGAAGAACATCATCGACTATTATACGATTCTGGAAAATGCCGACCACACGAAGCTCCTGCACAACATACTGCTGGGCGCGAAGAAAATCGGCTTCTCGGACAAACAGATCGCCGCTGTAGTGAAGAGTTCGGAATTGGCCGTCAGATTGCAAAGGCAAGAGCACGGCATACTGCCGATGGTCAAGCAGATCGATACGGTGGCTGCGGAATGGCCGGCCAGTACGAACTATCTCTATCTAACGTACAATGGCATTGCTCATGATGTGAATTTTCGTGGAGGATACATGATGGTGATAGGTAAGTGCTACTCTCTCTCTCTTTCTCCGTTTCTCTCATCATGCCGGCTACATTAAAGTAATCGAATCGAGTTCCTCGATAGAAAATACAGATACATGCAGCCATGAGGGATATCGATAAGTTTAAGTAAAACGAAATTCGTTTATGACGCGTCAATGCTCAAAATTGAACGCTCGATAAGCTCTCATCGATACGAAATTCTTATCAGTGTCATCGTATTGTAGCTACTTGTCCGAAGAAATGTGTAGCTATTCAATTATTGGTAGGAATGGTTGTCAAACATCGCATGCTAATGGCACGTTGAAAAACATGGTTTAAGCAGGCGTGTTAAGAAGGGATTCCGTGAGGTATCGTGATATATGTGTATCGAAAGTGTACGTTGTTTTTTTCAGGTTCCGGAGTGTATAGAATCGGTAGTTCAGTGGAATTCGACTGGTGTGCCGTGAGTTGCCTGCGCGAACTGCGAAATCTCGGGCGCAAGACCATCATGGTGAATTACAACCCAGAGACTGTTAGCACAGACTACGATATAAGCGACAGATTGTATTTCGAGGAGATCTCCTTCGAGGTAGTGATGGATATATACGAGTATGAGTGTCCTGAAGGTATAATATTGTCCATGGGTGGACAGCTACCCAACAATATTGCCATGGATCTGCATAGACAGCAGGCACGAATCCTCGGAACCTCACCGGAGTCGGTCGATGGCGCCGAAAATCGCTTCAAGTTCTCCCGTATGCTCGACGGCATTGGTATATCACAACCGAGGTGCGACCCTCGTCAAATATATCCGATATGTATTTGTAAAAATCGTAGAAAACTTGTCCGACGCACGAATTCAAGGAACTTGACTTTTCGTGCGCAAAAATGCATCTAATTCTACTCGTAACTTTTTTTTTTCATTTTTATTATGTTTACATTTTATACTTTTATTTTTTACTATGTTTATATTATATTTATTTTGATTTATATTTTATTTCTCTGTCGTTTCAGATGGAAAGAACTGACAAACTTGAAGTCCGCCATTGAATTCTGCGAAGAAGTGGGCTATCCGTGCCTTGTTCGTCCGTCGTACGTGCTAAGCGGAGCCGCGATGAATGTCGCTTATTCGCATCAGGACCTCGAGTCTTATTTGAAAAGCGCGAGCGAAGTGAACAAGGAACACCCGGTCGTAATATCGAAATTCATCCTCGAGGCAAAGGAGATCGATGTCGATGCTGTGGCTTACGAAGGGATCATTCTATGTATGGCGGTGTCTGAACACGTGGAAAACGCTGGCGTTCATTCCGGCGATGCCACATTGGTGACACCACCGCAGGACATTAATCTGGAGACTCTGATAAAAATAAAGAATATCTCCAAAGCGGTAGCTGCATCCTTGGGAGTCACTGGCCCTTTCAACATGCAGTTGATTGCAAAGGTAAATTTTGCACACTTCGTTTTTAGAATATTAAAAGAAAATAGGAGTTAAAAGAAGAGATAATATTCGGCTAAAAATAGTTAATGGCTAACGTAGAATTTTTATCGGCTAAATAGTAAAGATCGATGTTAGAATATGCATTATTTTGCACAGGATAACGAGTTAAAGGTGATCGAATGCAACGTAAGAGTGTCGAGATCTTTCCCTTTTGTCTCGAAAACTTTGGACTACGATTTTGTTGCGATGGCAACTCGCATAATCATCGGGGAAAAGACGGAACCCGTAGATGTTCTGGCTGGCTGCGGAAAAGTTGCAGTGAAAGTACCACAATTCTCTTTTTCTCGTCTCGCCGGTAAGAATACAGCCACTTACATGCGATGCGTGAGAATTTATTTACATTTCAATAGTATTTCAATGGCGTTCTACGCAATTTATTAACAACTCGACATAACACTTATTTTACTGTGCACAATTAATTTTGTTTAATCATTTTTAATTATTTAAATCCCAATTTGAAAGAATGTCTTTTCATTCAAAAATTAATTTCAAAATATTGTTACTTTTTTCATTCTATCGCATAGTAATTAAGTCATCTAAATTTGGCTGATACCATCGATATTATTGGTGCGATTAAAGGTGCTGACGTGACGCTGGGTGTCGAAATGGTATCTACTGGCGAAGTAGCTTGTTTCGGCGACAATCGTTATGAAGCTTACTTAAAAGGCATGATAAGCACCGGCTTTCACATTCCTCAGAGAGGCATTTTGCTTTCTATAGGAAGTTTCAAAGTAATTATGTTACATATTTAAAACATCTCTTTCTGCTTCTGATCTTGCAAATTTGAGATACTCTGCAATATCGTCATCTTGTATTATTTGTAAAGAAACATCGATGTTTAGTTTCGCCGCGATAAAGGACAGCAATGTCTCAATCTTTTTCCGAGATTCATGCATGTTCTTCAATAACGTGTCAATTAATTTTATCACAGCACAAAATGGAATTGCTGCCATCTATCAGAAGCCTGAAGAAGATGGGTTACAAGCTATATGCCAGTATGGGTACTGCCGACTTCTACACAGAGCATGGGGTCGAGGTAAGTGAGAAAAATGTTGATTATTTATTGCACTGTACTGAGATATTATTTAATTATCATTCATGTGACTATATGAATGAAAAGAATGATTATTTACAAGAATGGCTTTAAAAAGAGAATGTGTGTGAGTATGTGAGAGTGAATGAATTAAATAAGAATATGTTTCAATAGAAGATTCTTTCGACAGGTATGATCTAGCGTCCACTGTTAAATAAACATTAATCTATCAAATAAACTACGTAAAATTATAATATGTGTGTATGTGTGTGTGTATGTGTGTTATACATATGAACTAATATTTTAAAATTACTTTGCTCGATAACTTCACCTAGAACAATTGGTTGCTACTTTTAAATTACTTCGACTACAACTGGTCATTTGGCTTTTTACATAACCCGACGATTGGATATCGACAATTCCGCAAGGCGATAAGCGCGCTCAGTCTTCTACTTAAATTCATTATCACTCCTTCTCGAAATATAACAATGAATACCACTTAAATTATCTCAAATTTGTTCCTAGTTTTGTTATGTGCGCATCAAGGAGAAAGATTGTTCGTCCCCGTTGACAGATCATCTACGTCCAACTCTCGGCAAACGCTATATATACGTCGTTTCCGTCAGAAACGATTCATTTTTATTATCCGCTAAGGAAACCACTTTCTGGCTTGTGCCGGAAGCGGACTCGTCATTTTGCTCCCTTGACTTAGAGTTCTTCAATATGGAGATAATTTCATTTCTTTTGACCTCGCTCGGTTTCGTAGGCTTCGCCTGCTGCTGCTCTTGATCCTCGTCGGCCTCAAATCGCACCTCGTAGAAGACCGATTTGTTCACCGTTTTGCCGACCTTGTCCCTACGATCCTCGCGACTAGATTGCGGTTGCTCTTCCCCCGACTCTATCGTGACTTCGGTGGTCTCTCGTATGAAACGATCCTTCAAGGTGCCGACGAACAATGGTGCCTCGCCGTTCCTCTTAGGCGTCTCCGGGCGCTCGTTCGCCTGCGGCCGTGAACTCGCGGTTCTCGCTCTCAAAGCGTTGATCTTGTCACGATAAGCCCTGGCGTCCTCCTTGTATCTGCTCTGATCCGACAATATGATCGAGAGCCAATCCGCCTGATCGAGATAAACTTTTTTCTGTTGATAAGCCTGATACTGATGACAACATGCGGCCATTTTTATGAAGTGTCTGACGAAAAAGTCCAACAACGCGCCTAGCCTTGGACCCTCCAGGTTTGCGCAGCGCACCTAGGAAAGACAAGAAAAGGAATGAAGACGCGAGTCGACCGTGACTCTCAAGCTATTAATCGTGGAGGAAGACCGATAAGATTAGATTTGCGGGAAGTGCGCGCGTAAGTGTCGCGAATTGATCCCGCGCTTTTTTTTCACGCAATCAGTTACGATAATGGCGTGTTCGCGCTGGATAGCCTGTTAAGAACCGTTGCCGATAGGGATCTTATCTCTCAAGGAACTCACCGAGATCTCGATGATGGAGTCCGTCGCTCTGCGCGGGTTGATCAACGTCCTGTTCGTGACCACCCGCGCGTAGATCTTCTTCTCGGTCTGCAGTTTCGCGTTGTCCCAAAATCCGCCGGGCTTGTTGTAGATCTCGTCCCTGGCCAGGTGAGACTCGTCGTTCGGCGACGACGACGACGTAAACATGGACTGGCCGAGTGCCGGATTCACCAGAGTTAGAGTGTCCATCGTCAGTATCTTCAGCAGCATCTCGTAGTCCAGCCTCGGGAAAAACTTCTCGCTGTGCCTGATGTTCTCCATCGCGTGGAACACGTACATTACCGGGTTCTCTATGATCCTCTTCAACTGCTTCTGGGTGTGCAGCAGGTGGTCGGACGGCACCCTCTGGAACACGTTCTTGTCGCGGATGAAATAGTCCGGCAAGGTCGGCTCGTTCTGGCTGAGGCTGCGGTAGAGGCTGTTCAGCAGCTTCATCAGACCTTGGCCGGTCTGGTTGTCGGGCCACCTGGAGGGTCTATCGTCCTCTTCGATCAACCAGAACATCTTGTTTCTAATGTGAGAGGTCGTCAGGCCGAACATGGTATCGAAGACCGGCATTATGAAGCTCTTGTGAAGCATCAGCGCGATCAGGTAGACCTGAGCCTGCGAGCGCGTCATGCAGGTCTCCAGGTATCGCTCCGCGGCTGGAAACACCAGCTGCCATTCGAGATCGTGATAGGCGTTGCTGCCCTTCTTCGGCAGAAATCCTTCCGGCACCACGTAGCAGCCGAAGTCCTTCACCTTACTGATGTCTTCGTAGCTCGGCCACGTGCTCCTCGGCCGATCGAGCCACTCTTGAGCGTATTCCGGCCACTGCAGCCATATCGTCGGCGTCACCTCGTACGACTCGATCCTGCAGAGTCTGGAGCTGTGCGACACCATGATCTTGTCGCAGTAGATGACCGAGCCCTCGGGCTTCACCTCGTCCAGGTCCTCCTGGCCGAAATCGAGCAGCTGGCCCAGTTGGTTCTTGAAGATGTTGACGAAATGCCTCATGAACTCCGTGCTGCTGATGTAGGAAACCTCGTAGTTGCGCCTCCTCATGGCCATCCTGAGGCGGCGCTGCTTGCTGTTCTGCAGCTGCTTCTTCTCCTCCCGCGGATCGTAGATCTTGCCCTCTCTGGTGTGCATTACCTTCTTGAAGCACCGTTGCGGTATCTTCGCGTTCGACATCGAGTAGATCTCCGTCGACGCGTCTGGGACCGCCTTCTCGCTGTAACCGTCCGGAAAGTTGCACGTGGAAGCCGCGTTGCTATTCGTGTTAGGGCTGAGCATCGCATTGGTGGATTGCGTTATGTGGCAGCTGCTGTCACTGTCACTGTCAACTGTATAATAGCCGGACCGGTAGCCGGAAGTCGTGCTGCCCGCCGGACTACGACTGTTCTTCTTCGATTCCGTCATGCCGGGTCGGACGTGATAGCTCCCGGATTTCGACGCCAATTCGTCCTTCGACCAGGCTTTCTTTTTCATACGATCCGGAACCGGGGACACGTGCTCGTAGTCGGACTCGGGCCTGATGTCCCGACTGGACTGAGTCTCGTAGAGGTTCTCGCGCGAGTGGTACGCTTGGTCCTCGTACACGGTCTCGTTGTGTAGATTGGGCAAAGATCGCGCGTTGGAGGTCTGGAGATTGCCCTTCTTCATCTGCTGAGAAAGAACCATCTTCGAGCTGGGCTTTGGAACGTAAATGCTGCCACCGTCGCTGTATATCTCGTCTTCGTCCTCCGCTGAAGGATCGTGATCTTCTTTCTTCGGGTTTTTCGGCAACGGCGTCTCGTCGAGAAGCTCCAGCCGCACGTATCCTGTTGACAAGTTAAGTGTAACTTCAGTCATCTTAAAGACTACGTCGCAAGTTAGCTGCTTTTTTTTTCATTGTAGCTTTCGTTGTTTTCTTTTTCGATTCCTTCCCAATTTGGAATCGTTTCTATCTTTCAGGAAAAATATAAATTGTGCGTGTGTGTGTGTGTGAAAGTACTTCTTAAGATTTGTTTGAAGTTCAGCTTTCTTGAAATCAGATCTTGAAATTCAACTCTCTCAGCAATAGCACATGAATTTCGTTAAATCTTTTGTGTCATTCAATTCGTACAGAGATTCAAAGTTATTATTATGGGAATTTGGAAGACGCTTGACAAGATTTATCAGTTGACGTAGATTCACTCACCTTGCTGTTCGCTCGGTTTCATCAACACGTTATATGTGATCTCATTGTTCACGCTGCTGTACTCCGGCAGGTAATGCTGCTCCGTAAGTTCGATATTGTCGTGTACGACGTAAATGCGGATGGGGTGCAGGGGCTCGATGGTATGACGAGAGGTCTGTCGCATCGAGGTGAAGGCGACATTGCGCGAGACGTATTCCTGAAGAACGTCCGGCATCAAAACGTGCTTTTGAGGGGGCAATTTCTTATTTAGCTTCGCCTCGGAAGACGATGCCAGAGTCTCTTGAATCCGGATAATACTTCTGGAATCAAAGGAATTCGATCGTTAGATATTCACGTAATTCGGCTGATTGACTAGTCAATTGTTTTTAATATTACAATCCACACACCCCAAGACGCGGGTGTAAAAGCGAAATTAAATATTCGAGAAGTTGCGAAAGCATTTTCAACACCACGCACGAATATGTGGGAAATGGCGTGTGCAAACTGACAATCCGGCCGACATTCAATTTCATTGTCAAATCATGTAACTATAGTCTTATGCAATGGATAAAGATGATTCCTTGTTTTACGAGCACGTCCGATCGTCTAGTGCATTCTGGACAATCGCGACCAATTGCAAGTTAAAAAGCAGGAACAATTGTAGCAATTTAAATGTGCTCCCTCTTGGCACAGTTGTTATCTCGCCGACGAATATTTTTCGTACGTGGTACAGATTTCGAGATTAGATTAAGTCAAGTCAAATGGTATCGATGCTTAATGAATCGATATGTCTTATCCGAGATAATTCTGTGTTCTCTCACATACACGTTCTTCTAGACACGATACGAACGATACAGAATCATTTTTTGCAAATTACTCAGCATTATAAATAAGTTCCACTGTCAGAGACTTGGCTTCCTTAAGGTACAACAAATTGCATATTATACGTGTACTTATTCAGCGATGCACTGGGTTTCACCATCTCGAGCAACGATCTTGATCATTAATCCCGTTAATATCTCAACAATATCCAACTGTTATTCCACGGCGAAAGATTCTTTTTACACTCTCGACCGCACATCGCGCCACGAACGATCTCGCCGTCTCGCAACTACAACGAGCCACCTTGCAGAACACTGACTGGAACGAGTGCTTACTCCTCGTAATTCTCGAAGAACTGGACACTCATCATGAGGTTGTTCAGAATGAAACCCTCGGGATCCTTCTTGAGGCTTCTCCTCAGCATCATCAGCTCCACGCTCTCGTAGACGTTTGCCTGGCTGCCAGGTGTATCGGTCCCCTTGGATCCACCATTTTTCCCCCGAGAACCGACTTTGATTTTTGATCCCTTTATGCCCATCCTTTCGTCAGCAGGTTCACCGTCGAATTGCATAACAAGATGGACACGCGATACGACTGCGCGTCCCGACGCGAGAAGCGTCCACGTGGGGTGTCACTTCAGGGTTTACCAAGACGGTCCGATCGGGAGGTCGACGAGAACGTAACACGGCATCGTATGTACGCGCGTGAGCGTACGTTGGTGAACGGCGGGACAATAGTCCTCTCGCGGGGTGTCGCTGTCGATAAATAGCTATCTCCTTATCAAGCAGGGCGCTTTTAATCGGCCGCTTACCATTGGCTATCTGCAAACAAGCCCGGCATAAAATATTTCGTGCAGATCGCACTGACACCGGCACGATAAAGCTGTGGTATTTTTCGCCGAGTTCGCCAATAATCAGCAACTATCCTATCGCGACGAAGTAAGTTATAGGAACTGCTGGTCGCCGATCGACGCGGTACTTGCGGATTTCTTCTATTAGGTCAGTGATGTCATCAATCTTCGCTGGTGCTCCTCACGAATCTTCCCCACCGTCTTCTTTGATTTCCTCCTGTCTAGTTATCACCATGCCTATTAAGTCTTAGCCAAATAAACGATTTCTATCAGCAATGTCGGCTTTTATCTTCGCGTTAGCGATACCATCACGCGAGCACGGAGCAGCCTGACGACTTGAAATTTCTAATCGATAATCGTTTTTAACGAGTGCGGCCGAACGCACGTACAATGCGAGGTATGAAATTTATTACAGAATTTGACAAGCCCCAGCTTTACGTAAGCAGTGCCAACGGCAATTTCCGGGAGGGAAAAAGCTATCGATATTCACCGTCGCGATAATAACTGCATATGACTATAATTTGCGTATATTCCGCGTAATCGTTATTCTTTACGTAGAAACTTAATCTGCTTTCCCAGTAACGCTATCCAACATTCACATACTCGACAGGTACGGCGGACATTTCCGCAACAGCCACTTGTTGGATAAGAAATGCTCGTTATTAACATCATTATTATTGAGGCGATCATCGTGGATTTATCGCACGTAGACCCGCAGTCGTTCGAGACGCAACATAGTTTCGCATGGTGCAACGATAATACGCGGACACGGTCAAAGGACACTCTTCAGGCATCTGACGTCAAGTATAACAATACCGCGAGTAAAATTGCGACTCTTATCTAATCTGCGAGTGAACTCCCTATCGGCAACTCGGAAATTGCCGGTTAATCCCGGAACAATGCAACGTGCGTTTGCAAATAAATATTGTTTTCCCGAGATATCCGGGATCATTGTCAAGACGAGAAGCATTCTCGCATTTGGCGGATAAAGGAGATTCCGCGGGGATCGGAGATTTTTTTTTTTCGTCGGAGAAAATTTTGCACAAAAGTTGAGATAAAAAATGATACATCGCCCGCAACCGACTATAACAGATATCAATCGATATCTATTTAGACTATCGCGACACGATACAGGTATGTGAGGCCGCGCGAAGTTAAACGACTAAATATACAGTCAGAATGTTAGTGAGAGTAATAATGCAATCAAGGAGATAACGTCCACCCCCGGAACGTTAGATGTTCGTTTAAGAGAGTTACTCGATATAACGTGTAAGCGAAGTGCAACGATTCTTCAGAAGATAATTGAGTTTCTAATGTTGAAGCTCTCTTAATATCGAGTTCTTAATATTGATGGTTGAGATGCGACCGAAGCGAAAGTATTCATTTCTGTAACGCAGGTGGAACCGGTGCAATGGACGTTCGAGAACATCGGCATGAACGAGGATTCCAGTCCGAGCGAACTTCGGCATCTCGCCGATTTCCTTTCGAAGAAGCAATTCGACCTTGTTATCAATCTGCCGATGAGAAACGGCGGTGCCCGTCGCGTTTCCAATTTCATGACTCACGGTTACAGGACAAGGAGACTCGCGGTCGATTATTCCGTGCCTCTGGTCACGGATGTGAAATGCGCGAAATTGCTGGTTGAGGTGAGATGATCCAAATCGGATTTTCGCAAAAATATTCGATGTAGTGTCCCACAAGCGTGCAAAGTAACTTCTCTGGGTATGAGATGTATCTTCCGGAGTAATTTGATTGAATATTTGACACGAAGCTAAGTTCACGTGACGTTACCTTTTCGTTTCATATTATACTTCCCGTCATATCAGCACGTCATGAATCAAAGGTCGCTTAGATAAATGAAATCGCATTACTCACTCTTACATAAAAATTCCTATCCGGATTGTTGATAAAAGATACTAACTGCGAAGTTCATCCGAAACCTACATTCTTTAAGATAATATTGCAACCCAATTTTTTCGCACGGTTAACGTTCTGTGACTTTTTTCCGAAATTTATTTGATTTCCTAACCTGTAACGTTCCAAACGCTATCAGTCCCTTTTTTAATTTTGCCTTTCTATAATTTTTACTTTATTATAGGAAATGTAAAACCAAAGTAGTTATATATATATATATATATATATATATATATAACTACTTTGGTTTTACATTTCCTATAATAAAGTAAAAATTATAGAAAGGCAAAATTAAAAAAGGGACTGATAGCGTTTGGAACGTTACAGGTTAGGAAATCAAATAAATTTCGGAAAAAAGTCACAGAACGTTAACCGTGCGAAAAAATTGGGTTGCAATATTATCTTAAAGAATGTAGGTTTCGGANTATATATATATATATATATATCTTGTTATGATAATTTTTGTAATCATTACTTTCTTTGTGATAGAACTTTAATCTAGAAATCACAAGTGATTTAAGTTTTCGATATCGCTTTATCCAGTTTGAAGTGTAGACAAAATAAAATGATTAATAACTAAACATGTTCATTACTTTTATTTGATAAGATATCAGGGATGTCTTAACGTAGAAATCACTGTTTCCGTACAAGTTTTACATTTTCCCTACACATGTAAAAATTATTAGAATAGTTGCAATAATACAGAACTCCACAGAAACAAATAAGAGTATAGGTCCAAGTATTCGTCAGTTTTTACTTTCTTGTTTCAAACAGCAAATGTGGGACCAAAGATTTTGGATAGGTTGCGACTACTGACTGCCAACTACACAGTTCTCATTTTTGTTCTACATTAAACTATTACATAATATCACATCAATTTTTGTGAAATTTTAATTTCATCGAATAATCGCGTATCTCAATTAAACATATTTATTCGAGGAAGAGGCATTTCTTCTTAACGCTTTTATCATTCGACGATTTTCGCAAATGACTCTCTTTCTCTTGGATTTTTCTCAAAAGGGCAACGAGAGAGCAATCGTATTCAATATTTCATATTTCGCGCTAAACGCTTTTGTTTAAGTGGAAACCAGGGCGCGCGTATTACCCACCATCGTGCATCGTGAGACTGCGTAATCGCGCGCGAGCGATAAACCCGTGCTAATTAAAGAGATGCAACTGTACATGCTCCTCGGTCTTGTGTCATGCAGGCAATGAGAATGGTTGGTGAAAAAGCACCGCGTATGAAAACGCACACCGACTGCATAACGTCGCGCAGATTGATCAAGTTGCCCGGCTTGATCGACGTGCATGTGCATACCCGTGAGCCAGGTGATGTTTACAAAGAAGACTTCGCCTCCTGCACCGCGGCTGCACTCGCCGGCGGTATCACGATGATCTTCGCTATGCCGAACACTAATCCGGCGGTGGTGGATCATCAGACTTTCGCTTTGGCCAAAGAGGTAAACACCGATGTCTTTGAACGTAAGAATTCCGTCCTTGCAAAAATCATTCATTGATAAGATAATCTTGTTAATTTTTTTAATCCTCGTAATTAATCTTGCGTGCACTTCATTCATTCATCTAAGATGCGCTTGTACTTCACTCCGACAACGCATCGCTCATTTTTTCACACAATCTCGAGATATTATTTATTTCTTCACAATTTACTATATTATTTGTACTCACGAAAGCAGAGAATAGTACGACTGTGATACATTTTTCTTCGATTTTTTTTGCCCCCACTTAAAGAATATCCCATCGGTAAGATCTTTTACATTCAAGTTCCTCGAGCCAATGAAATAAAACTAAATCGAGTTGAACAAATCATAAAACCACCCCCGTCCACTCTGCTGCGTTGTAGAAAGCTGCAGCTGGTGCACGATGCGATTATGCACTATTCGTCGGCGCCTCGTCGAATAATTACGATGTTATACCGGAATTAGCGCCGCAGGTAGCCGGCCTGAAGATGTATCTGAACGAGACATTCACCACGCTTCGTCTCAATGATGTCACCTCTTGGATTAAGGTAAGTGAAACGCACGTCTACATTGTTCTTATACCTGGCATTGTTTGTGTTACAGAATGGATATATAAAATTGCCGTACTGTTTGTTCGCAGCATTTCGAGAGCTGGCCGAAAAAATACCCTTTGTGCGTGCACGCAGAGGGGCAAACGACAGCTGCGGTGCTTCTGCTGGCGAGTTTGCACAACAGACCGATCCACGTGTGCCACGTGGCGCGCAAAGAAGAGGTGGAGATTATACGCGCCGCCAAGGAGCATGTGAGTACATCATCGAGACATCCGACAGAGAAAATAACGAATGTGTTTGCTCAAACGTCGCGACAATTACCAAAAGTTCAATCGCTAGGTTAAAAATCACGAATTAGCGATGTTAAATTACAATTATTCAAAGACGTCGATGTATATCGTCTGAAAACTATTATTACACTATTGTTACAGGGATTGGCAGTCACGTGCGAGGTATGCCCGCATCATTTGTTCCTCTGCCAGGATGACTTGGAAAAGATAGGTAGTGGGAAAGGCCAGGTGAGACCTATTCTGGGAACGAAGGAGGATCAACAGGCTCTCTGGGACAATCTGGACATAATTGATTGCTTCGCAACCGACCACGGTAAAATCAAACACTTATCAAACACTCACCGCGATATTCCAATAATAATTCCGATCGTAGGTTCTAGTTGAAAGTTTCCCCCCTTGAAAATTCGTCGAGCAAGCGAATTTGCGTGTCGTTATGATTACATGGTAAAATCGACACATCGACGTTGCGATCGAAACGATAACGGCCGATGTTATTCTGGTGAGCCGGCGATAAAGGGATGAACGTCCCGTGTCGAACATATATGCGTATAACATCTACTTCGCTCTGCTTTTAAGCCTCGTACAAAGGCATTGTTTTCTCTCTCTCTCTCTTCTGCTCCAAAATATTGATATTATATCGGACACGCGGAGTAATTTAGAAATAACGAGTAATTACTGTTAATATTGATAAAAAATCTCGATAATTCGCCGTATCGAGCACGTATTCGATCGGGAGGTGAAAAGGAACGAGTTTCGACTAGAAATCGCGCGATCTCGTCGCGCGTTACTTTACAATTTCTATATGTTAACTGCGATGTCGTGGCTTTTCGTGTTAAAGCTCCGCACACCGTGAGAGAAAAGTCGTCCGAGAATCCACCGCCAGGATTCCCCGGGCTGGAGACCATGCTGCCGCTGTTGCTCACCGCTGTGAAGAAAGGGAAGCTGACCATAGAGGTATTTTACTTTTCCGCTCGAGTCTATTGTGACTATTGTCCCAACGACGTCCGCTTGGAGCGTAACGAGCAAGGAATGTCGATAAGCATTTCTGCTTGATAACGAAATAACGTCATTCCAACTCGGAGATAAATTTTTACACTTGATATGACGTAATAAATCGAAACGCGACCAGGTGAAGCTTTTTGCAAAAAGATTTCTCATCTGAGTTTCTTCGAAACTAACTAAACAACTTACGTTATGTTTGTTATTTTAATCGTGGGATTAGTTACGTCCTGATTTCGGTTCAATAGCTCGAAAACGGAAGTGGTTCGTTAGAAATCTAGATCGCTCTTCAACGAGGTCCTGAAATAAACTCATGGTCGCTCCGTTTTAAATGCGATTTTGTGTTTGCGCTTATCACTTCCTACATTACAGATGAGCGTTATTATCTGATAGTACTGGCAGTACGATATGAGATAAGCATCGCGCGCAAATATATTCACTGCGCTTGCAGTAAAAGTAAAGTTTTTCTCTAAGATCTTTTAGCTGAACTAATATACATCGAGTGTTATCATTAGTTTCGCCATGTACATTCGATTTCTTTTCCGTCTTTGCGCCAGTCCAATGAATTGACCAATTACCGACTTAAAGGAGTTAAAATTGCTAGAACTAAACAAATTACAGAGATCTAAATTATAGAATAACACGCCGACGATATAATTTATATACGTTCTGGCTGCATACATTGGAGTAAAGCAGCTTCAAAAGAATTAATTTTACACAAAAGGGGAGGAGATATATATAATTCAGATATTCTTTAATATAAACAGAGTTGAGTACATAAGTTAATTTTTATTTTTAACTAAGTTAAAAGCTGTTGGCTTATAAAATTAACTTAGTTAATAACTTAATCAATAGTGACCTAAACCAAAATTAAATTAAAAGCCAAGTTAATATTAAGTTAACTTCTTGACCGTCGATTAAATGTATGCTAAATGAAGAAAAGGTAGTCTATTATAAAAAAACGTTCATAGTTTCGTTAAGGATTCCATACAAGAAAAAAAAGAACACTATATTATTTTATATTGTAAGTAGCCCAGGGCAAAGATTTCAATATTGATGAACCATTTTAACTTATATAAAAATAAGTTAATAACTAATGCGCTTATTTAACGTTCGTAGACTATTGTCGACAAGCTCTACCGAAATCCCAAAAGGATCTTCAACATTCCCGACCAACCAAACACGTACATCGAAGTCGACATGGACGACGGGTGGGTTATCCCAGAGGCAATGCCGTTCAGTAAATCGGAATGGACACCTTTTTGGGGTAAATGGTGCCAGGGTTCCGTGCACAGAGTGGTCCTGAGAGGTGAGGTAGCCTACGTCGAGGGACAAATTCTGGTGAATCCTGGATTCGGTCAAGATATCAGGGAGGTTCAGCATAAAATGAAAGTTCCGCCGGTGATACACGTACCGATGGTAGACGCAGTCAGCAAACCGCTGTTCCTCCTGGATGGCCTTTTGTCGCCGAATTACGAGAAACACAACGCACGAGCCGATTATGTCGCTGATTCGTCCGAAGAGCAACTGAATGGTAATAATCCAAGATACTAAAAAACGGTATTTCCCACACGGAACGGAGAGACAAAGTTGAAATAATTGAAAGGAACTTATTTATAATATTTGAGAGTGATTCTTATTTTTACGACGGTACTAGTGCGTGTAATCTAATATGTCGCCAAATCGATTGTGAAATCTTACATGGAGTGTGTTTGTTTAGTCATTGCGAGATAAAGCTTAATTAGTTTATGAGATTACGGATGAACAATATGATATGAGACAATTGTTTATTCCGTTTACTTTCAGAATCGTCTCTTCTGCAGCCATTGTCGCACAAGTCGAACGTATGCTTCGCGTTGGATATCGACGCGAAGGAACATTCTAAAATCCTGCTCTCCCAAAGGAATATCTCTCCGTTGCCAATTAGCAGTGCCACCAAATCCAAGAGTGACAGTAATCCGAACCTCTTGATGACCGCCACACCGGCTTCTGCCGTCCATACAAACCTGGTCGGACATCATGTGCTTTCCGTGGATATTTTTAATAAGGAAATACTGAAAGATTTATTCTACCTCGCGGAACTCTTCCGTAATGCCATCAGGAAGGAGCGACCATTGGATCATGTCCTGAGGGTAATCAGTTTAAATTTGCATAAAATCGTACATGTGTATCAAAGATTACAAAATGTTGAGATAGAAGCGTTTCTATCTTTAAAAAGACTGAATACATGCTGAAACTACAAAATATGATAATGTCGGATTGGTAATTTTCAAATGACAAGTGAAACTTTTTATTTTCATCGTTAATAAAATCGACTATCATTTTCGATCAGGGCAAAATTATGGCTTCCATCTTCTACGAAGTCAGTACGAGAACCTCGTGCAGCTTCGCCGCCGCGATGCAACGGCTTGGTGGCCGCGTGATACACATGGATGGTTCCACCTCGTCGGTTCAAAAGGGAGAAACGTTGGAAGGTCCGTTTTTGGGGCGAAAGCCTAACCTTCGAGAACAAAATACAAAATATCTAAATACATTGATTTATAAATATCAGGTCAGTCAGAAAAAGTTCGGTACGATTTTCTGTTTTCTTTGATGGCCATTTTCTACGAGAGAAATAATGCGAATGTCTAGGACAAGTTAACAAAGAACGTAGATAACGATGGCGGCGACGATTAACTTGGTTGATAAATAAGTCATGTCCATTCGATGTGATTAAGTCAAATCTGACTCTAAAGTCGAACCGAACTTTTTCACTGGGCGCAGTACTATAATGAATTATCATTCCATTCGTGACACGTGTTCTATCAGTTATCGCGCTGTTGTAGATACCGTAGCAGTTATGGCAGGATACGCGGATGTGGTGGTACTTAGACATCCATTACCAAACGCAGTGGCGGTGAGTATAAATAAGCAAGCTGTCTTATTTACAACTTGATTGCATTAACAATCGACACTTACAACCTTTTCCTGTCCAATTATAATTAGCATATTTTAGTTTTAATTAGTTTTAATTAATTAATTTAGTTATAATTAATTAATTTAGTTATAATTCCTAAATTCAAATACCGTAACAATAGTTATTTTATTATTCTCGCTGTTTCTGAGCCTTTTCGAGACGATTTCAAAATTTGACAAATCCGCCGTGTTAATGCGCGCGCGCACATTTTCCAGTTGCTATTTAATAATGATAACTTACAGAGAGCCGCGCAGCACTGCAGGAAGCCGTTATTGAACGCCGGTGACGGAATCGGCGAGCACCCGACGCAAGCGTTGCTCGACATTTTTACGATACGAGATGAATTCGGGACCGTGAACGGCCTCACGATCACGATGGTGGGGGACTTGAAAAACGGCAGGACCGTTCACTCTCTGGCCAGGTTAGTGCGATAGAACAATCGCGCGTCCCAGATAGCGCGATATTCCAGATTGAATTTCGGTCGTTACGAGCGAACGAGCGAGTTGTCCTTCGTATCCAAAGACGCTCATTGGAGACCAAGGCCAATCTAAATTGTAAAGAAATAATTGAAGGGCTCGGTACAAGAATCAGTCAGCTACGTTTTTGGAAATTGTATTCGGTATCAACTGAAAACTATTTTGCTAAGTAAGTTATATAAATTTTTTTACGAAAATCGTTTAAATATGTCAAGATCGTTCTGTTGATTTTATGATGCAGTCTTTCGCTGATTTTACAATTTCAAAAAATCGAGCTGTATCAAGTCCTTCAATTGTGGAGAATTATACGAAAAATCCTTGAAAGAGCTACACTTCATGCGTCAAGGTGTTTTTCTTCGACGCGCACAACTTATTAAACGGCGCTGGTGCAGGTTGCTGACTCTGTACAACGTGGAGCTTCGCTACGTGTGTCCACCTGGCCTCAACATGCCGGATCAGGTGACCAATTACGTGGGCAAACGTGGAATCCCGCAAGAGAAGTTCGCCACTTTGGAGGAGGCTTTGCCAGAGACCGACGTCCTTTATATGACGCGTATTCAGCGCGAACGTTTCGCCACGCAAGAGGAATATAACCAGGTAAGTGCTTAATAGATGTTACGACGAACTCAATACGTTGTGTCGAACTTGAAAATGAAGATTCAACGTTTGTCACGCATTCGTTTGATGCAAAATGTCCAACGTAAGTGCAAGATTAAACTTGGTAGCTAACATGCGATGTTATCTTTCGGATAGAAGTGGTTTTTTATGTCTGCTTGTCTGCTTTTATTCGTGCTGAGTAATACCGGAAAATTTCAAGTATTATTGCAACGCAAATCTTACATTGATATCGAGATAAATTCAAACGACAAAAGTACATAAAAACATTGAAGAAGTTCTTCTGTTACTGTAATTTCGATTAATTGTGTTCTTATCACTCCAATATTTTTATTGCGTTAAGCAGCTTGAAAGCGACATTTTTTATTCTTAATAATTTAAAAATAAATTTTAAATATCAAAATTGTAAAGAAATAACCGGAGGGCTCGATACAAGAATCAGTCAGCTACATTTTTGGAAATTATATTCAGTATCAACTAAAAACTATTTTGCGAAATAAGTTATGTAAATTTTTTTACGAAAATCGTTTAAATATCGTAAAGATCGTTCTGTTGATTTTACGATGCAAACAGTTTTTCGTTGATTTTACAATTTCAAAAAATGAAGCTGACCGGTTTTTGCATCAAGTCCTTCAATTGTCAAGAATTATACGAAAAATCCTTGAAAAGCTACATTTCATGCTTCAACATTTGCGTCCAGGATAATTAATTTAAAGAATAATTAGAAAATAAATGAATTGGAGTACAGCGTTTTTACAAAATTGTCACTGTGTGGCAGGTGTGCGGCCACTTCATAGTCACTCCGCAATTGATGTCGCGCGCAAAGAGGAAGATGACGGTGATGCATCCGCTGCCTCGAGTCTTCGAGATAAGCACCGAGTTCGACACCGATCCGAGAGCAGCTTACTTTCGTCAAGCCGAAAACGGGGTCTACGTGCGCATGGCATTGTTGGCCATGGTCCTTGGACGCACTTGATCTGACAATGGTCACTTGTAGGTCATGGCGCTTCCGCCGACTTGGCGAACAAGGTCAATAACGCCCGCCATCACAGACACACGTCCGCAATTTCAATCAGACTGTAATACGCTCGTGAAAGAGCGTCGCCAAGTTGTAAATTCTCTCGACATTCCGATTAAAGAGCTTAGCTCTTGAATTTCCTAAAGAAATTTACCGTGAACAATACAGATCTTAATAATGTATTTTTAACTAACGATAAATAGATTGGAACGATAAATGAAATATTTTTTTATTCGGTGACACACTTGCTTGAGGCAATTTTTGCTTCTTTTTTCGTACAAGAAACATACACAAGTATATGAATTCGAAAAATTACTTAAAAAAAAACTTTAATCAATATATATACATATATATATCATAAAAGAAGGTTTTAAGGAATTTTGTTGAAAACAATTTCAATTAAATAAGATAATTCGAAAAAGAATTCGAAAAAGATTAAAAGACATGATTTTACATAAGTGAAGTACAAACATTTTAAGAGGTAATACTAATTACGGAAGAGTTACAAAATTCATAATTTTTTCTACGTACGATGCTTCATACCACATAACACATACATACCCAAGAAATAGACGATCAAAAATACCCATCCATTGCGTTCTTCCTTTCTTTTCCCCTTTTTATTTTTTACTCTTATGCTCTTAAAGCAATCTGCTTCACGATACGTCCGTTGATACAATTTATTAATCACGTCAATGAAAACCATTCAATTATTCCATTAGGCCATTTTTATCGAGTTATTCTGACACATGTACGTCAGCAAGCTATCTTAGTAGGCTGTATAAACGTCATCAGTATCACCATAGTTGCGTTTGACGTTGTGATTCGACACGCTTCGCGGTATGCACGTGTTCGATGTCATGTTATCACCGTGTAATACTAGAGGATTAGATTCGCAGAATTGAAAATGTGATCACAGTTAGTTAATTCTTTGTTACAAGAAAACATATATATCATTTTATATAAGCGTTAAAGGTACATTCAAAACTTATATTACAAATGACTACTGTATTACACTTTGATGTTAGGATTGGTAAGCAAATTATTTATACGTAATTTTCACGTAATTAAGAAATAAATAAGGGAGTGATAGAAATAAATTGACAGTAACGCAATAACGTAGGATGTTAACAATGGAAAACGACGTGGGTAAGATTTCACATTCATTTAAAATCTCAATTTACATACATATATTTAGAATATTTATGTACAAAATATTTATATATACAAGTGCATATCACTCAATCACACGATATCTTCGAGAAATATTAGGCGTGTCTGCGCAAAATGCGACTGAGAAGCATTTTAAGCGCATTCCGATCCTTCCTTCGCAGTGTCCGGTCGAAAGACACACGCTGTACGAGCGCACGTAACGCTAGTAGCCTCTATGCATACGTATTATAAAATTTATACGAGAGCCACGTATGCCTTAACATTATTAGAAGAATCATTTAATCGGTGCTCTATCGAGCGTAGACCAATGTAAATACAATTTCCTATAGTTTCCTACGATTTCCCCTTTTTGGCGCAAGGCTGGAAATCGTACAAGTGACGCTAGTTGCATTGTTAAGACATACATGACGCTTGTAATGTACATCAAGAATCGTTGCTGAGCACCAGCAATCCCAGATCACAGCGCAAATGTCCGAAAGACATCGTAAAGACGCGCAAAATAAGCGTCTAAAGGATGTTAGGATCTTTTGGAATTTTGTGCCGCCCGGGAATGTTATTAGTCACACGATATTCTAACGGATGACTATCATCATTCCTATCAGTCACATTCGATAGCAAAGTCAATGCCACTCTAAAAAAAAAAAATATCTCACTTTTTCCCACGCTATAATGTCTCATGTACTACATGTATCATTAATTTTCCAGCTACTGCACCAAGTGTCACGATGGAAACTCGTACTTCTCAAACCTCTCGTGAAGTCCCCGCGAAGAACGAGTCGCGACCTGATCGAACATCAAACCGTGTCGCATATCGTTTTGAATCCGGTATCACTGGCACCATTGGGGCACATGTCCGAGGCCAGGGCTTTCGAGTCTTCCTTTCGGCTCTTTCCTCTCGCCTGTCCCGGTAGTGACATTGCCCACTTCAATTTCCTTTGCTTCCTCCTTGTCGAGCGGGGAAGGAGGTGCTCCTGCTGTCTGTAACGAAGTCAAGCGACGTCGCACGATGACACGAGTCCTCAACGCTAATATCGAACGTAGTCGTTACGTTAGGCTTTGCAATTTAACGACTAATTTCTTTGATCGTTTTCAATGAAACACCGTTGCGTTCAGCGAACGGTTACACAACGGTTAAATAATTCGTCAACGATTGAAATATAATAATAAATAATTCGTAATCGATTGAAATTTCAGGATCTAACATTAAAGATCAATAATCAATGACTGCTCACTGACTGCTTTTTCCGCTGAAACGCAGACACGCCCGCGGGTCTGTTATCAATCGACTTATTTTTACATGAAAAAAATCTCGCGCCGTACTCCAGCCGTGTTTGTTTGTACCGGTGGAGACCGTTCGATTGCGAACGAGACGCAGATGTTTGGACAAACAACAAAGGCGAGCATACGCTGTCAGGTGTTTACTCACTGGTATAAGCGATCTATTTGGATACCTATCCAAAACAGAATCACTATAATAGCGATCACGCTAATCACGCCGGACACCAGCGGCACCAACTCGTACGATTCTTCGTCGAGGCGGGACGCTTCCGGTGCGGAGGTATTGTACGCTGAAAGAATAGCAAAAAAGTTTACATCTACAACGCGTATGTACGTGCGATAAGATAATGTCTATTTGACAAAGTTTTCCTCTTTTTCGCGTCATAAATTACTTATTACGTACGAGAATGTTTTCTACTTCTACTGTTTTATTGTCTATATATTAATATTTAACCTTCAAACACCAAGACACACCTGCTTTCTTCATTCCACTTTCATGACTATTAAGACCGGGAAGATGTAAAAAATCGACGTACTTTCTAATTTTCTCGAAAGATATCGCGCTTCTTTATTTTATTCTTATAAAATATATCTTGTTACTAAACCTTAGTTCGAGGATTATTATTTTATATACCTCGCGTTTTATAAAATCTATCACCGCGCTGTACGTCCAGTGAATAACTACTTGGTGATAACGTACCTAGGAAAGGCATAGATTTTAGCCACTTGATAACCAAAGGAGAACACGCATTTTTATCTTTCTCGAATATTTTATACGTGTAAAATTTACTTGGGCCAACGTTGCAGTGCTTAATCGCAATCAAAGGCAACATTAGAAGTTGCATGCGTTACTTCGCGTTGTATACACTTGGTATACATACGAGATACAAGCAAGCCACGTGCATTTGCATCGACACACGTGAAAGTTATTCGTGACAGCAAAGGCCACACTGTGTTTTTTCAGCAAGCGCGGCTGGTGTGCACTGGTTTTATGCATATTATAAACTAAATGAATCGCGTACACAGAAACGGGAGAACGTACCGCGAGAGGAGAGACGATGGAACGTCAAGGATCATACGATAGCGTCTTACTGGAATAAATCCCATGTCTCTTGCGCGATTAAGATTACAAAATGAACATGCCTGTCCACAAACGATTCGACGAAGAGACGATTCAAACGGTTTTTACGGTAGCTGCTAATTTCGCGAAATCAATGCAATTTTCAGCCGCCCAATTTTGATATCAAGTTGCGAATAACACGACGCATGACAATTTAATATCTTTAAATCAGGTGACGATGCATAAATAAATAAATAAATTCGCATCGTCAACCAACTGTTAATTAAATATTATCAGTAATATTTAAATTTAAATTTACATTATCAGAGGAATCTTAATTACTGAGAGAGATAAAGATTCTTATTTTACGATTTATCGGACGACTCGAGAAAACAGAATTGGTCTTTAGGAAAAAGTGCGAAGCGGGAGTTAAGAGTTCTCACACGAAAGAAAAGCGGATAAGTTGCGAGATCAGCAGCCATATTTGCCTACAATTTTCGATCCTCCTGTTCACTACGGTATAACGGCGTTTTTCTTATGGTTATTAGCGGAGTTCTCTACTCCCCAGAGAAAGGTCTCTCCACGAGCTGACATGACAAGATAATCAGACAAGAAATTCGAGACGAGAGGCGTTTCCTCTACACACTGTGTGCTCGTGCTCGGCCCATTTGTTGACAAACTTATTTTGGTCTCTACACAAAAAATACCTTAGAAGTTCGTTTAATCTTCCTACACTATGCCATCGATGCCATCGGTTAATAAAATAAAATGAAATTCAAAATATTATGTTTATTAATAAATATTATATTTGTATTATATTTATTATCGATAAATATTAAAATATATAATGACTGGATTTTCTTTATTTTTTTATATATATATTTTTTTACTTTATTGAACTCCAATATCTAACGTTCACCGTAAAATAGTCTGTGGTGTGATTATGCATGTCGGGAGACGTAAAAAATATCGATTCTTGCGTCTTCTTATTTACAGAGTAAACTCTGTCGGATTTCTCTGCGCCTTGCTTTCACGCTGGTTAATCAATATTTTGCATCAGCTTGCCGATCGTTCGATGATAAATACGTTTCTGCCAACGTGTGTGTGCATAAATTGCAACGGACACACCGTTAATTTCGCGTGAGCGAAATAAGCAGTTTTATTTTCACTGTTGCGGCATACAGGAAAGAATAATAAAGGTACTTAATAGAGATACCTGCAACTTTCCTCCTTGATGCTACCGTGAGCAACACTTCGCACCATGAAGAAAAGCTGCTGATTTCTACGAATAATATTACTTTCGCTTTTCTATCATCATTTTCCTATTTTTAGCCACTCGTTTCTACAACAATACCATGTCACTCGAATTGTACGTTGAAAGTAAATTTGCCTTTATTTCTATTTTAGAATATAAAGCTAAACTAAACTTATAGCTTTCAAGTTAAGAATTTAGTTCAGCGTTTAAATATGTAAAAATATAAGTAAATTATTTCACCATTCTAGTCGTGTATATATAGAGTGCGTGTTGATTAAGTAGATAACTACGAAAGAACTGATTTTCAGACATAAAAAATTCTGCCTGAGGTCCACATATAGCAGGTAAAGCGAGGACCAAGAAAAACCCGTTTTTCACCGCAACAACCATACCATTTGACCTGAATGCATATCTCCCTGCGACTGATGACAGTATCGCGGTTAAAAACGCAGCTTCTAAAGAATGCTCGCGTTATCGGTGACTAAGTGCCGGCCTTTTTATTGACTGGTAGTTTCCTTCCACACAGGGCGTCCACACGTGCAGTTTAGTGGAGCACGACAATTTCGTCTCGTTGCCGAGTCACCGTCGCTTTTGCTCGAATCACGATATATTCGCGGCCGGTATAGTTACTTGCCGGCTCTCTTAGCTCATATCATCGAGTACTAGCATGCGGCTCACGTGACGCAATTCTGAATGCGCGATCAAGAGGCTCGCAGATCGGAATGTTCGCGTCGCGTTTGCGACTCAACCTTCTCTTGTTGGCAGTGCATCCGATATGTCATACGTAAAATGCTAATCAAGGTCTTGGCGAGAGATTAATCGGGGGATCTTGACGTGCAGAGAACACATTCCGGTGAATTGGAGAAGGGGGAGGGAGGATTAATTGAACGTCCCGACCGGATACGTTCGACGGTTAATTCGACAACACGAATCCTCGGAATAAGCGTGACACGTCGGATATCCTTCGTTGTTCTCGAATCATTCTCGCTGTCAATGTTACTGTCGAAGCGACGCGTCGATCGGTTTTTATCAGAAGCTTACGAAAGCTCGTCGCATTTTTGGTCACCGTGTTTCGTTTATTTTCCACATTTTCCCACTTTTAACCCTTTGCACTCGAGGGCCCCGGAGCGGAGCCATTTCAAATTTGTCTTCAAACTCTGCTATGGAGACAATGCAAATAACTTTCAGTTCATAACATAAGGACAAAGACAAATCGTAAAAACTATTGTGTATAGGATATTCCGCTCTTGCTATTTGCATTGTCTCCGTAGCGGAGCCCTCGAGTTTGAAGACAAATTTTAAATGGCTCCGCTCCGGGGCCCTCGAGTGCAAAGGGTTAATATTCCATATTAATAGTAGCGAGACATTACATGTCACGTTCAATCAAAGTGCCTGCCATTATTCACCACTTTTTACTATCAAGTAACTGCTTCCGCGCACCCGTAAAATGACTCATCTATAGTGCTAATGATATCATCGGCGACCCTACGAACTTTCCCAAGACTTTAATGACAAATTCTCGGATATTCCGCAAATTCGTCGCTTGAGAGTGGAAAAATACTGCATTCGCGACGTGCAAGTACGGACGTTAAATTACCTGCGAACGATATGCACGTATTTTCGCACGTTGGAATTTATCCTCTCGTGTAATCACAGATATTGCGGGCTCCGATACAGCACCTGTTGAATTCCACGTGAACTAGATTCGCCGTTCGCGCGAGATCTCAAAGAAACTAGGACGAGATCTTGAAGAAACTAGGACTTCAGAAAACGCGTTGAATCTTCTCGCCGAAAATAGTCACGGTGCTTGATTTGATAAATTAAAAGCGCTCTTATTAATTACGATACTACGTCAGTAGATGATGTCACGATGCAAAAGCATGAGGGAGTGGAAAGCGATCGATAATTCATCGCCACCACGATGTATAAAATTTGCGAACTAGCGGACCAGCGAGTCAGCGAAAACGCATCAGCTAAAACGCCTCGATCACGAAAAAATAGTCATAAAACATGAAGCTACCGTAAGCTACCACGAAAGCAGCCTACTTTCACTGAGTCGCGTATTTTCACTTGCTCACTTCACGCAACTTCATCCTTCTCAATGAGAGACGTTTGTACGACATTATCGTTAAGTGCTGAATTCGATTATTATATAAAGAGTCACGGGAAAATTCGAAGGAGCACCGGGATCTATTAACTTTAACGAGATTGATTAAATAATCGACGAGCGATTTCACTTTGCATATATTCCGCGATTAATTTCCGACGAATCTTGCGAAATCTACGATGTTCTTCGGTCCGAATAAAAAAATATCACGTTTAATATATGTTATATCGGGTCACAACATAATGTTGACTTCAAATATATCGTTTGTCGCGTCGTACCGAGTATTCAAAAATTATCCCAAAAATATCGCGGACACCCGTAGAACAAGAGCAGCGTTTGTTTCTCGGAGGGACGAGAGTAGCGCTTTTTCATCATCGCAGTTGTTCAAAATTTATTCAGCTGATCGCATACAAAGGAACTGGGGGAGGGTGAGCGCGTGTATTTTTATTGTTAGTTTGTCGTAGCGATTAAGTATCTCCGTTACGGAGAACGGTGTTCGCGGCAGATATTCATTCGCCGTGCTGTTTTCATAACGGCAGCGACTGAGCATTTCCAATGAGTTTCCGCGCTACAGGTGGAAATGTGCGCTTGCCATAGCGCGCTTGCACCTATTCATTATCTTCATTAAAGAAACATTTTCACTGCCACGTCCTTATCTTCAACGTCAGGACACGATATCGATTAAAGAACGTTTAATAAACGGCGAAACACACTGTCACGATTTCTTAAACTCGGAACGTGTGCAATTTCTCTTTCCTTTCTTTCTTAATTGCTCCTCATTAAACGGCAATTTAATCTTAAAGATATGCGCACTCTCCAACGCTTTTAATAAATGCTCACTTTTATTTTGCAATAATTACAACATCACACGTATTCAGTTTTTAATAAACTGTGCCCAGAATTTCCTCGGCGAATAAGCGCTGCTCGCATTTCTCGATTGTTTATTATTCACATTGCTGGCAATGATTAGTCGAGTTCTAATATAGTTCTTATTTCCTATGAACTTCGCGAAAATAACGGGTATGAACTTAACGAAAATAACACCACATTGACCGTGCCGATCTCCCCTCATCATTTCTTATCTCCCCTTGTACATTCTCAAGCATTACCTTCCGTCGAATTGATCTTCATGTTGTCGATCTCCCGTTGGCGAAGAGTTAAACTTCCCAGGTTGTTTGCAAGCTATTTCGCAGATTCCCCGCTCTCCAATTGTGCCGCGGTTAATCGAGTGAAGGAAGCCGACGCGACACGAGGAAGCGCGTTCGGAGCACTCCCGACTCCGAGCGAGTCGGTCGTCTCGAGAGCATGAACTGCCGGCAACATGCCCGCTGTCGTTTATATAGCCACGATAAGACATCAACAAGAGCGACAGAGAGGAAGAAGGGATGTACGTCGGCAGAAGAACGAAGAGAAGAACGAGGATCCTGAGTAGAGGGAGAAAAGAGAGACGGTGGTGGCTCGCGGAATGAAGACAGAGGTAGCTGGTACAGCTGGGGCGATGCGGGGGCGACGGAGGAAGAACGGAAAAAGAAACCCGACAAAGACACTATGAGATCCGTGAGGGGCCTCTCTTATTCACCATTCCGGGTCTAGGTATAACCTGGTACGCATTGGAACGGCGCACAGCAGTGCCTAAGCGTGATGTTTTCTTGCGAAAAAGGAAACCCCGCAACTTCCTTATCAGATCCAAAAACTAAACGGACGAAATAGTTTAACACGAAAGAAAAAAAGTATTTGTTAGTCAGGAATCAGAATCGTGCTACTCTGTTGGTAACGAAAGAACGCGACGCTTGAATTTACCGCCGTCTCCGAATTCCACGACGCGGTCACAGCAAACAAGTGGAAATAAATACAAAGTTTTTATAATAAAAGATTATTAATATTTCAAAAAAGTTCTCTATCTAAATTGAGCAGTTTATTGGCAAGAAATATTTCTTTAATATCAGTGATATCAAAATTTATGGTAACTTTTGCAGACAGAACAGCATCAACTTAGACTAACATTTTTAATTAAGAAATTGTTATTCAAAATATTTTTACTATAGTTTTTTATTATTCAACTATCTAATATCCAGCGAGAAATTTATATCGAATCGATGTTAAACTGACGTCAAATCGACATCGAAGCCATCGAAATTACATTGAATCGACGTCGATTTGATGTCGACTCGATGAGTCATTTCTCGTTGGATATTACGAAAACATATATGGATCATCTTACTCTTCTTTAATTAAAATATTTTATTACTCTCTTTTAATTAAAATATTTATTTTTACGTAATTTAAGGCACTTTTTCGTGTTTGGCAAGTTGCCGGTCATTGCGGAAAATAATTGATGAATTATACATTACAATACAAAAATATGCAAATAACTCGTTAACATATGTTTACCACAGGTTTTATAATAGTTCAATATGCATACGGAAAGTCCCACCAACGCGTGTATCATTACGTATCCCGATTCCTTATCGTCCCATTTCTTCCCAGTCTCATTGACGTAATCAAAAAGTTCTTTATTGCTGCGTATCATTGAAACTTTCGTAGAAATTGATAATTCGTCGATATTGATGGAATAAATTCGCGAACGTCTCACTGATGTTCATATTTTGCAACACCTTAAACGTTATTTGTCAAAATAGAAATTTTACGCGCAGGCATTTGCGCAATTACCACTTCCTGTCGTAAAATTATATAATCATGTCCGTATTACCGCGATTTATCTCCCGGTTTTGTAATATGTGTAGCACATATACGCGTCTGCACCGTGTAATACTCCGACTGCACCGCTCAGCATCTACAACACAGAAATAGTCTAACTTTTAATATCCTTCAAGACGAAGTATTTCTAAATGTCTGAAATTTCCGTATCACAGAACTAAATGTATCGATCTCCTTTTACTATCATACAATTCTCGCTTTTTCGTACGGTTCGGAAACTAAAATATATATCGAAGCTTCACGATTACTTGGTAAGAGTTACATTTATTTTCCTGTTACGAATAGATAATAATGTAAACTAGTGAAAGCGTTAAATCCGCGATTCGTGACTGTGCACTTAATCAACTGTGTAATTACGTAAGCGGCTGTCATGGCAGGATAAACGTCGAAGCCGGGTTTCACGTAATACTCGGCCATTAGAAATACTTTTGTAGCAAAGGCCAAGTAGGATGCTGAACTTAAATACAGGAAGCAGGCTACAGAGTTGAACATCATCTCCTGGAAAGAAAACACGATGGACAGCTGTTGGAAAGTTGTGAGATCAATAAAATTATCGTCTCAAAATGGCAAAATTAGAGATGAAATTACTTAAAATATAATGATTTTACGATTTCCTTGTAAAATGTGGTTCATTTGAAACGTATGAATTACATACAAAAAGTGACGAACGAATCATTCGATAGGTCTTCTCAGAAATCGCATAACAGGCAAGCAACAGAGCGGAAGTCAGGAAACAGGACGACGCAGTGGTCAATGATCCCTCAAAAGCCGAGCCAATAGTTGAACTATACCTCAGGCCATAATTGACCAGCAAACTTTGTATTAATCCGCTGATTACCTGAAATTATACATGAATATGTAAGAAACGAGGAAACTTCGTATCCTAAAACATCTGAAAACTTGAGACTCCAGACTGTAAAATGTTTCTCGAAACACCTAATTATCTTTACTTTTGCCAAATTTGCAGCCCACTGAATTTTACCTACTTCTTACGATCAAGGAAAATGAGTTTTTAATTTTTACACGAAACTTAGTACTCTCTCTCTCTCTCTCTCTTACTTTCTTGAATTTTCCATGATAATAATGTGAACAGCTTTCCAAGTATAATTACCGTTTCGCAAATTTTCACGATCCCCGGCGATGATTTGAAGAACTGCACGTGTATGCATGTGCAGCACCTGAAGCAGCAACAGCCGACTCCGCCTGCGCCGTGCGTACCAGACGAAGACATCCTGATCACCGGTCCTACATTGTTCATGCCCATGATTCTGTATCGTAGACGGCTAATTTAACGCCCGCTCTTGTATTTTCTGACGCGACGCTTGTTAAATTATCTCGTTAAATTGTCTCGTTCGTACAAACCGTTCTTTATTAATCCTTCTCTACTCGGCACTTAAGTGTCTTGCGCATGTGTATGTGAGTTCTCTCCCACAGAGATAATTAAATTTATCACACGTGAATCGCTTTGTCCAAAAATAGTAACACTTCTTAAGATAATTATCTTATTGTGAATTTAACAGCACTCGATGTACGATAAATTATTTTCCACACCTGCGTTAAACATAAAAATAAAAATAATCTTCCTTCGGTTGAAACTGCGATTTTATCAAGTTCGAAGATGCGTGGAGAAAGAAACTGATCGATTAGAAGTACATCCGAAATATCAAGAAGAGATTTTAAAGCAATATGTTACACACAACAATATGATGCGCGCGAGGTAAGACACTTTGAAATATTTAACTTAACCAGCACGATTTAACTAAACTTAAACAACAATTAACTTGATCGTTAATCTTTTGTTCTTCCTGGCAGCAATTTTGAAGAGAATGCGAGACGCGACCGTGATCGCGACCGATGACACTTTTGTACGGACTGAGGGTGTTGGCGCGTGCATCCACGAAGTATGAATGTCGTTGCACCCTCCACATAGCTCTCGACGCAGGGGAAATCGCTGTCTATTTCTGGCACGTGCCACTAACGCAGGATGTTTCGTCGGCTGGCTATGCAGACGGTGAAAACGCAAAAAACTCGGAAGAAATTTAATAACACGAAAAATATTTCACATTCCATACTTTTTTGTAATATGAAGATAAAACGAACCGCTTGATTTACGTCGCAGGCTCTTTTGGTCGTTTTAAATTGGCCGTGGTCAATTTTATAAGTAACGGAGATATTATTAAATAATGTTACATCCCGAACAATTCGTGTAATATAATATTTTAATTATGTAAGTAACATAATATTTCGGCACTTTTTGTTCCTATTATTTGTAAGTAATATCATTACGTTTTATCTATTGCCAAGTGAATTCCTAATTGGGAGCTCTATTGGCATAGCGAGATGTATAATATAAGCATATAATTATCATGACTTACATAAAATAATTCCTATCTACACATGTTCAGAAATCAAATAATACAAATTACAACTTACATTCAATTATTTACTCAATAAATATATATATAAATATCATACATATATAAATACATACATAAATATATATATTTATTTATTTATTTATTTATTTATATATTAATATATTTATATGTATATATATATAAATATATTATATGCGCATAACCCGCAAAAGTATTAGTTGCAAATCACAATAATTTCAAAACCATAGTATAAGTGCGAATAACACGTGTTGATACAAAGTGTTCACAAAAAACCCACATGAGTTGAGGTAACGTAGAGATCGCGTGCCTTCATTACATTACTTCATTACATTACAAAGTAGGGCACGATTGTCGCGATTTTAAAGCGTAAATTTCTTCATATAATTACGATTATAATAAGTAGTATTCATGATTCTTAGCGCGCACATTATAATTTCATGATTTTATCTAAAGATCGAAAATGATCGTATAAAAAAGTACAAAGTATGCGTGAATGGCACTGACGTTCACGAAATATGCGAAAAATGGAACGGTAGGACGGCTTTCACATGTTTTTCAATGTCATCAGAAACATACATAGCATGTACAATATTATGCAGCCGTAAAATGTGTTGTACAACTTGCGTATCATTTAATTTCTTAAATAGTCTTCCAAATATA